TAGCAGAATTACAAATGTAAGCAGATCACACTGTGAAAGATCTTAACCAAGACTGCTATCGGCTAAATTCTGAGTAAATCCAACTTACCCACCTTATTCTCAGCATCTCAAAATAAGAGGGAAAAGATACATTGGAATGAGAGGAGAGTCTAAATTCAAAAATTGTGAAATATTTGATTGAGGAACACAGAATGTTTTAACTATGCCAAAGCATTGGACCCTGTGAGAAATACAGATATCATCCTCCAGCAAAAAGACAGTGAGAAAACCATTTTCCACAGAGGGAAATTGGGTTTTTGGTAGAAAACCTAATCTTCAAATCTAGCATGACACCTGCTAATTAACATTCTTGCAATTCTATATTAAACTCACAATAAGCTAGAGACTTCTTTTCTTCACACATCAAGATTATCTCCTTTAAGCGAAGTGCTCTCAACTAGTATTAAAATAGATTCACCTTTAAGGAACTGGGGAAAAAAAAGGGAAATATTTAACTCTGTTTCAAAATGCTCTGCTACAATTAGGCATTTCTAAGAATCACTATAAAGCTCTCCTAATTTAATCATACTACAACTGCCATACATTCCAGACCCATCCTCTCACTCTTCTTCAATCTCCAACTTACTCTTCCTTCAAAGCTTCTCTTTTTAATGTTGTAGGTAATAAGTAATGACAGACAATCTTTTAGTTTCTGAGTTGGTGATGGAGCGGCTGACACCAAAACCATTTAAGCAACCATTCAAGTCTGTAGATTTCTCAAAAAGACAAGCTTGGAAATTCACCATCTCCCTACCTGCTGCTACCACCCATACATGTAAACAGCCCTCAGAACTGCAGACTGACACATTTCACTTGGAACCAGCTTCAAAACTATCTGGAAATTCCACAGGGGTTTTATATATATGTGTGTCAGAAAAAGAATAATTCTGAATTCCAGAGCACCTTCTATTTTCCACTTTTAATAGAAAATTAACAATTTTCTGGGTATCACCTATAATGGCAAAACAAAATTACAGAATAATTTAGATTGGGAGGACCCTTTAAGCATCACTTACCCAAATCCCATTAAAAAAAGGAAAAACAGCAACAAAACCAACCCCATTTTTTCCCATTTAACAGTTGTCTCTAGTATTTCGCTACTGTTCACTTTTTTCCTCCCTTAATCTTAACAAGTCTATGCAGCCCACAAGTTTCCCTAAGAGACACAACTTTACAGGGTAATTTTTGTGGTGTTCTCCCATTTTCCATATTTCACATTTAGCTGTTCTCCCTTTCACTGGTTTATCAGCTGTCAGCACCAAAAGGCTCTTCCACTCTTTTTCAACTCTTTTAATAGGAACAACCCCAAAAGAGGGACATGTTCGAAACACCATTTACTTGGACATATACAACAGTGGCATTAAAAAACCCCAAACTTTTAACTGCTTCCATGTCTGTATTCTAACTTACAAGAACAAGCTGGAACTTTGTATTTACAGCTCAGAAAACCTTGGTATGGAGACGGTGAAATTAATTACAAACACAGTAACACCGCTCATAGCACAAACTCTGCTAGCAGAGCCTAAGACAACAGCAATAGGATATGGGGTAGTGGTTTTAAGCTAAAAGAGGGTAGATCCAGGCTGGATACAAGGAATAAGTTTTTCGATGATGATGGTGACAAAACACCGAAGCAGTGAAGTAGTCAAGACCCCATCCCTGGAAAGATCCAGGCCAGGCTGGCTGGGGCTCTGAGCACACTGATCTAGCTGAAGAATGTGCCTGTTCATTGCAAGAGGTTAGACCAGCAGACCTGTCACGGTTCCTTCCAACCCAAACCATTCTATGACTCTATAACTACATATTCCTTAATGCTTCATAACATTACAACCAAAGTCAGCTCATGTTACCTGACCCCTCATTATATATTAAATATATGTATTTCCACTAGATTTGTGGCAGCTGGAGTTTCCTTTATAAGACCAAAGCCATATTTTAAATTTGCCAGAAATTCAACATCCCTCAAATGGCCTAAGCATGTTTACTTTAATTCATCTAGTGTACCTTTTGCTGCTTCCTTCAACATCTAGAAAGTTGATATGGCAAATTCAACACACAAACACACACACCCTCCACTCCCCAAAAAAAGTAAGCATTTACTTTAGTATTCCACTGCGAAGGATTTTTTTAAATCCCATTAAACTTAGCTCACAAAAGAAACAAAAGTCTGAAGGAAATTCTTTGAGAAATTCCTTTTTGAAGTCTAATTACCCAGAGTAACATTTCCCATGAAAATTATCTACAGAAACCACTGCCTTTTCCCATACCAGGATAGTCAAAAGCTTCAAAACCAGAAAACGTTTAGTTACAAGGAAAAGGAAAAAAAAAAAAAAAAACAAAAACAAACTCCCAGAAATCTCTAGGAAATGTTTGAATTGTTCAGTGTTTTAAAAAAAATTAGAAAATATGGGAGTAATGTACAAGCATTTGCTGTCCTATATATGAGGCAGAGGGGCTAATTAAATCGTTAGGACAGGCTCATTTTATACATACACACACATTAAAAATATAAACACACACACATTAAAAAGATAAACACACACATCTTTAGAGTGAAGTGCTGGCAGTTCCTTCCCATCTCCCACTGCAGGGAAGCAGGTTCTCCAGCACGGCACAGGCACAGAAGGCTGACTAAAGTCCCTTAAGAAATACAGCCCTCCTGAGACAAAGCCCCATGGTAAAGAAGCATTAATTCCCAGGGAAAAACCCATGCTGATATCCCATGGACTTGAAAGAACAAGAGCAAAATCATTCACTTCCATCACACTAAGAAATCCTTCAGAAGCCTGTGGCTCAGCTGAAATGCACAGCACCCAGGGTACACACATACACAACCACACACACGTGTGCCACAGGGCTAAAGGAAGAAGCAGTATGAACGCTCTGTTCCCATCTCCAGAGTGGACTGGAGAAAGAAGTGGCAAAGGAGAGCAGTCTCATGTCTACCACCATTTGCAACAGAGCAGGAGGCCAGGGACTGCCCTATTATACAAGTCACGGAGCTTTACCTTTCCACAGCCATGGCAGCTTTGTAATAATGTCCAAATCGCTTCTCAGATGCACAGGTACTCTCACACCTGAGTAAAGTTGTGGTTTTGATGGCTGTATAAAAACACATCTGAGTATATAAATATACAGAGTGCAGCCCTCCAACACCAGCACTTGGAAAAATACCCCACGTGTGTTCCTACAGGTATATGCAAACCAGTGTTCGCATCACAGACATTCATGAATGAGCTCCCAGAATGGGCTAAGAGCAAAAATATTCCAGCAATAAGCAAGGCTGCAGGCAAGGCCCCCAAGAGCACAGCTCTAAGCGCTCTGCAGGATCTGGGAGCGCAATAGCAAATTAATGGGAAGTGGAAGAAGCACGCTTGATGAACTACAGTACAACAAAGGGTACCTCTTTCAGCCTTCAGCAGCAAGGGGAAATGTTTAGGGAATCTTCAGTAACAAACCCTCCAATATTGTGTTCCAGATATACATCCTGCCACGTACTTGGAAAGAAAAGGTTGTTTAAATATAAACCCATTACGGTTTTCAAATAATCAGTGTTGTACACATCTCTGTTAAATTATCTGAGGTGGAGAGAAAAGATAAAGTAGTCTCCCTGTGTACTTTTTAAACAAAAAGAAAATAAAACAGTGTTTACTATCTATACATAAAAATGCTTCACTAAACATATAAGATCCATAACAATGACATCTGTGTAACCTCTAAAGGTCAAGGTCATGTCATTTACACCAAGATAAAAAAGTCTAATTATACTATCTACAGTTTTATGGGCAAAGGCTGGTTATTAGAAAAGAACTATTATAAACCAAACACAATTACACTGTAGAGAAACCATTAGATACTTGATGAGATTTTAATCTTTGAGCTAGTATCATTCTGCAAGTTAATCATCTAGAGAACAGAAAATCTGTTAGGAATGCAATTAAATGTACTAGTTCCATTAAAATTGAGCTGATATAGTTAATTGTAGTCCTAAAATAGCAATTTCCTCACACCTTCACTAAGCATTTTTTTTTCATCTACTGAGTAATAGTCTATTTAAGGAACACTTCACTTAAACTCTCAAATAAGATTTGTGAATACTTTTGTTCTCTTATGCTACCCCATACAAGTTGCACTGATGTTTGATTTTTGACCTTGGCTTTCTAATTTGTTCTGGGAAGTCCAGCAAGGTCTTTTGTTTCAGTTACTTTTAGTCCATGGTACCTGCATTGCTGACGCTTTCGGGAAGAATCACCAGTGCATCCTCCCAGCACACGACAGCAATTAGAAACTGACATGAAATGACGAGCCAATGGCAAAACTCACGTCATACAGTCATTTTAAGCACCAGCACTTCTGGCAAACACATGATTTCCAAACATCAGTTTTAATGAATCCATATATCTTCAAAGTACGTGGAAGGGATGTGCAGCCTCGCTAGCAAATTTGGAATACAGGCCGTTCCTCCCTTTTTTGGAGAGAAACAGAATGAAAACAAAAAGGTATCCTAAGAGTGCATCAACTTGGCAATAGCTAATCTGCAACTGAACCTCACAGACCACACAGTTTATTGGAGCATTTTAAATTGCTCTGCAGGGAAGGGCGAAAAAAATCAGGACTTCGGGGAGCGCCAGGGAAGCCGGGGCTGACACCGGCGCATCTCTGCGCGGATGCCGTTACGTAACCCCGGCCCGGCCCCCCGGTCCGGATGCTCCGGCTGCGCCCCGGGGCCTCAGAGCCACGGCCGGGCCGGACCACGGCACCGGCCCCAGTCCCGGCCCCGGGCTCGCCGCCGCCACCGCCGCCGCGCCCCGGCCGCTCCCGCCTCCCCCGGCGGCACCGCCGCGGCACCGGCACCGCGCGGCGCTCGCCAAGCCCGGCTCCGCCGCCCGACCCGGGGCTCCCCGCACGGCCCGTCCCGCCGCCCCGGCCCCGCGCCCCCAGCGCCGCCGCTCCGCGCCCACCTCCTGGCCGGGATCCGCGGCGCATCCCCGCTGCGGCCCGGGAGGCTGCGCCCCGGCGCTCCCGCTGCTCCCGCCGCAGCTCCCGCCCGCCTGACGGAGGCAGGGAAGGAGGGAGGGGGCGGGCAGCCGCAGCCCCGCCGCGCCGCCCCCCGCCCCCGCCCGCGGCCAAGGTGCCCTCCGCCGGCCGTACCCACCTGCGCCGGGCGGCCCGGCCTGCCCCCGCGGCAGCGCCACGGGCCCGGGCGCAGGGACGGGGCCCGGCTGCGGGGCCGGGCTGGCGGGGCCGGCGGCGCGGGATGCTCGGCCGAGCGCGGCCGCGGCCCTCTGCGCGCAGCGGCGGGGCGGCGCCGGGCTCGGCGCGCACCTCGCCTCGCCGTGCCCGCTGCGCCAAGCGGAGCCCCGAGTCCAGATGCTGCCGGCGCGTCGGAGAAACCGGGCACCGGCGGGGACCGCGTAACGGGCTCCGGTCATGACATCAGGTCTGGAATTAAACGGGAAAGCACGTGCTGTGCTGGAGCGAGAGGGACCTCCGTGCCAGGGGCGGGGGGACGGTGTCAGACAAAGGGGTGCCGCCGAGGGACCGGGCTGGCAGCAGTAGCCTAAGCGCCTTTCCCCACCCAGCCTTGGTGACACAAGCACGACACCCAGCCTTGCACCGTCACCCTCCCGCAGTAGTCACTGCGTTAGCTGATCAATCTTTGTCATCTGATAATGGGAGGTTGTAAAAAAACACATTACACGCGCCAGAAGGCTGCCGTAGAAATTACTCCTCTGATTTAATTTGTGTTAGGTTTTTGAGGGTTGTTTTGTTTTGGTAGGTTGGCTTTTTGGGGATGCGGAGTTGCTTTTTTCCCCTGTAGATCCTCCATCACAGCCTTTTCAACATCCTTGATAGTTTAAACACACCTTTGGAAAGGGGAAGCTGGACTGTGTTGTGTAGAGAACCCATGGAGTGGAACAGGTCACCCTGCTGTGGAGCAGGCAGGTTGTAACCTCATCTGTCTGGTAAGTGATGTGCTTCTGGCACCCTGGTCCTTCTGCTCGGGCCTGGTTACTCGCTGTCCCCAGGGCTGGTGCACCTCCTGCCCTCCAGAGATGGCTCTGAGGCCTCTCTCAGCAAACTGTACTCACACTATTTACATCCCCCACCTCAGCCCTGCTCTCTGGTTCACGGTAACAAGATTGGAAATAGATGTCATTGTCCAAGAAAATCAATTAAAATCCCTGGAGAACTAGATGCCACCGCCAGCAAATTTCAATAAGAGAATGGGGGAAAAGGGCAAATACCGCAGAAAAAAAGTAGATTTACAGAATTCTATAAATTATTGAACCTACATTATTCATTAGGCAAAGACAGGCTGTGTGATGCTGATTTATGTTTTTCCTATTGCCCAAACTAGCAGCTGTAGATTTGGTAGTATTATTGTGCAAAAAAAAGGCACCCTGGCATACTAAAGCCATAGTCATTTTCCTATGAGAGAAGAGACTTCCATAAAAGGATCCCTTGACATAGTGTTTTTTGTGTAACTTCTCAGATAAGCTTCCTGGAAAAAAAGCTTTATTCTTTCAGCTGAACCTGCAAGTGTCATTTTAAATATGGTTGAATAAAGCTAGGAAATTCATTAAGTAATATGGGTATTCTCAGTTCAGTCAGAGAAAAAAAGAGAGGTTTCTGCCAGGCAGGGCCTGAGAAAGAGTTGCAAAGGAATGTAAGTAATTCTCTATCTCTCTTGTTGTTCATGTTGTTTATAGATATGTTCTGCCACCGTGCGTCACTCACTGCACACCAATGGTGTGAGATGTTTTTACGTTAAGACCAATGAAATTAGTCTGCACAATGCTCTCTATAAAAGAGTGATGTATTTGAAATAAATCAGTTGGAGTTCACTTCATCTAGCCTTCTGACTGAGTTCTTCTGTTCCTGTCCTGCCTCAACAGCAACAAAGTAACACTTTTTTTTTCCCTTTTGATGTTCAGTTTCCAAGAGCTAGAGCAGGAAAAGCATTAAGCAGGACTTTGGTGGGTGTAAGAGTAAGTTTCATGTAAAATCCTCAGAAAGGTTAAATACAGAGCCACATACATTATAGAACACATTTAAGATTGGATTATTAGAGAGCGATGCCTCTCCCCCAGTTAAGGTGCAAACAAGGCAATGTGCCAATGTCAGTAGTACACTGGATATTATTTACCAGCAAATGGAAGGGACGGGGCAGGAAAGAGAGAAAAATAAGGAAAAAAGAAGCAGGGGGAGTCAGAAGGAAAGAGCATGAAAGAGAGATATCACTGTGATAGAAAGATACCACCACCTGTGGATCCAGATGGCATCCTCTTAATCCTCTTCTGGTCTTCTCCATAGTGGGGGGTGCCATGAAATGTAGAGTTCAATGGGTTAATACCTTCAGGTGTCCATGGGAATGCCCAAGCAGCTCCCCTTCACGGGAAGGGATGTTTTACACCGTCTTTTGCAACATCAGATCTTTTGCAACATTGTGGACCCTGTGCAGTCCCTTGGTGGAAGGTCTCAGAAATTAGTCTGCAGGTGCTTATGGCTTACACATGACAGCTGCCTCTGGCATCAGCAAAGCCGAGCCAGTTATGCCCCATCACAAGGGATGCATGGGTGTGAATGTTTATGTCCTGTGTGGATGTGACCTGCCCCAAGGAGGGGCAGCAGAAGTGTCACAACTGGGCTGATGACAGCTGGCAACACCATCTTCTCTGGAGGGTCTGCTTCTTACCTGGCTCAAAGCCCAGCTTGTAGCCTCCAAGGGTGCGTGTTCATTCCCTCAGTCTCATGTGGAGCAGAGGCTTCAACACCACATCCCCAAAACCTCTCCCCACCCACCCCGGCCATGGGGGGAAGAATGTAAACCTCACTTCAGCAAGTAAGTCTGTAGCTATGGCTCCCCCCGCCAGACCCAGCCAGAGCTGATGTTCCAGCACAGCTTTCCTTGTGGATACATTCTTCTTCCCCAGCCTTGTTTACTTCTCCTTAGGCCTGAGATAATTGGACAATAGTACCACCTTTATCCTTCCCATCAGGTATTTTAACCTACAGTTCAGTTCCCCAGATTTGGGCAGGATGGGCTTCATGCAGCTTCTTTTGAGACTTCGCCACAGTGGGCAAAGTCCTTTGATGACTGTAACAGTGTTTCACACAATTATGATCTTTAAATTCCCGGAATGTAGTCACTTAATTTTCTTCTAAAAGAAATAAATAACAGGGCGGGGAGATAGAGGTGTCTTAAGGTTCATTCAAAAACACCATTTCAGACAAGACATCACTGTGACCTGAAAGAAATTCCAGAAAACTCTATTGTTAGAGTTGAAAACTATTGCTCACTTGTTTCCGAACAACTTACTCTCTAATATTCTAACAATCTTGATAACCAAATTCTTACGTGGTTATTCTACAGAGGAGTTTGAGGGTTTTTTTCACTGATTTGCCCATACTTAAACCAAAGAGAAACAAACATGTAGAAGGGCAGCTTAAATACTGTTTTAAAATAACACAGTTACGTTACATAGATGGTGGATGACAAAGTGCTGTGCATGCACACGGGTACCCTCATCTTCCAAGGTCTTAACTGATAGAACTTATATAGAACATACAGTTCTTAACAGAACTGATTCTTGGATAACTGTAATCATTCCCATTCTTTACATCAGGCAGCAGGGAAGTTTACTAAATATAAAATTAAATGTTTGTTTACCAGCCCTGTGCTGAGGATAACCAGATCTATGGACATTGAAAATACTTACTTACAGAACTTTAAGAAAATACTTTTATTTTCTCCTGTAATAAGCAATATCGTGGTTTCATTGCTGTCATTTATTGTTAGTGGGGTGTGCGTTTGGCAAAATGGTACCCTTAGGCAAGGCATAGGTAAGAGACACATTTTTAATGCGGATTTTTGTAAACTACACTTTGCATTTTTGCAAATTCATTGAATTATGAAAATCTGTAAGAGTACAGTAGTAATAACAAGTGAACTGAGGTGCTCTGAAGAAAAAGCATGAAGTAGAGCACCAAAGAGCATTTAAAAGTAGAGGAGGGAGACCTTGGGAGCCAGGCTCATAGCAGGCAGAAGCTGTGAAAAGGCAGGCACCAGCTGATGGAAACTGAATGTGCCTTAGAATAGAGGAGTGCCACAGGAGTGAAGAGCCATCTCCAGGAGTGGCTGGAGATGAAAGAAGAAAGCACAGCTGCCATTAGGACCAGATCCAGTAACCAGATCCACTTCCCCTTTTGGACAGATACTGACCACCGAACACAACATTATTTACTTTCCTCTTTGAGTCCTCTTTAGGGCTGAATTGCTTAGAATACTTCTAGATGAGCACTGTTGCACCTAAATAGCCTAAAATTACTTGTGTGAAAACAGTTTCCTGATGATGCAAAATTACGCATAGTAGGCAAAACGAAAACTGACTCTGAGCAGCTGTAAAAAGATCTGACAATAGTGAGCAATAGGGCAATGAGATGGTGCCTGAAAGTCTGTCAATAAATAGCAACTTACGTAAACAGTAATGAAAATAACCCTAACTAAACTTACATAATAATGGGCTATAAATTAGCCTTTATTACTTGGAGTCATTGTGAGTAGTTTTCAGCAAACATTGGTTTGCTACTCAGCAATAGTCCAAAAGGCAAACAGTGTTGTGTTAGAATTTGCTTCCAAAGCAGCAGAAAACAAAGTAGGAAAGCTCATTACAACTCTGCATAAATGTCTTTGCACTTGAGTGCTGTGTACAGTTCCAGTCCCTTTATATGATAATGTGAAACTAGAAAATGCATGTATGCAACTGAAAAAATACATACAGAGGTATGGGAAAAACAGAGATTACTCAGCTTCCAAGAGTTTCAGAGTGCGTCCAGGATAAAATTCCAAGAATGCTATATATGGGCATCGAGGCCATTTTTGTATCCTTGGCCTTTAAACAGGCAAAGGGTAAAACTTAGTGATAGCTGTTTATGGACAACCCACGTCTAAAATTCTGGCCAAAATTTTAAGTAGCTTAGTTGTTATGTTACCACATAGAAGAAAGGCAGCAAATTTTAATGTCCCACCACATGATTATGAGAAGTGAATTCAGAATACAAGCGAATTTTGTGGATTTGATTAAAATTTAAAAATAAC